TGCCAGCAGCGGGAAAGACTGTGAAGTATTGGGTATTATTGTCTATTTTCCTGTTTAAAAGGCAGACCCCCATTGTACTTGTTCTTCGTTTACATAACACCTAGCAACAAGGCCTGTTCGTGCCAGACATTCCTACGTGTTGACCGACTAACCTGGTAAATGAATACAAATGAATGAAATAAACCTAAGTAATGCTTCTCTTCTCTTTCTCTTCTTTCCATTTACTGAATATTCCTTCTGAAGGCCCACCTGTAAAACCTCTTAGAGGTTAGGAGACATTTAGAGATGAGGATGCCCCAACCAAGGCAGGGATGAGATGAGCATGAGTGTGATCACAAGTCCATTTGCACACCCGAATGGGCAGGTCACGGTGGGAAAATGCTTGAGAGACTAGAGGAAAGACCTGGAGATGACACAGGATGCAGGAGGGTCTAATGGGACTTAGGTATAGAGAGTCCAGGAGCGGCCCATGGGATGAGGTTGTGCACAGCAACGCGGACAGGCTACATGTGTGCCAGGGATGGGGGACAGAGACTACATGCTTTGCTAGGACGAATCATTCTTGTGCCACCAGCACCCAACAAAACCTGGGTCAGAGGAGTCTGCCTCCCAATAAGATGTTTCCATAGAAAAGACAGACCTAGATCTGGCCAACCCCAGGCCATCAACGTACTGTATACCTGGCATATGGCCCAAAGGAGGGGAACATATGGGCACATGGTTATTCTGGAACAAGAGGTTACAAGCAGGCAGTGCTTGTCCCCACAGCAGACAAATTCCTGTAATATGTGTGCAAGGGACAACTGCCATCAGAAAGGAACAAAGCGGTATATCACATTAAAACCAGGAACAGTTATGTGTGCTGGTGGGAGTCAAAACATGTTTCTTAAAAAAGGTGCAATATTGGAAAAGCACTGAAAAATGAATGATTGCCTCTGGGAGAGAGAGAAGGGAGAAAAAAATATTTGGGATCAAGGCAGGTATATGTATTTAGGATTAAAAAGTAGTGCAGTTTGAGGGGAAAGGACCATATGCTGGGATAACGTTGTTACATAAGGTGGGAAACGTGGGTCAGGCTGGCTACTTCCTTAGGAGTCCAGCACGCTCCGCTTTCTGGGAAAGAAAGTTGGTCATGTATTACCACTGCTTTATTGCTCTCTTTTCCATACTGGATTATATGCTCCTTGAAGGCATGGGCTGCACCTAGTTCCTGCCTGGTAGGAATCTTGTGTGTGTCTCTCTTAGGCCATATAGTAGCTGCTAGTAGGAAGGGTCCTTTGTCCTAGGCCACTCCTTGAGAGACTGTCATAAAGAGAGCTACATTACAGTGACACTGCTGACCTCCCTCTAGTGCTTCCAACAACATGACCCCACCAGCAGGGAGGAAGCCGGCGAGCCCACTCACACCCAATCTCTCTCTTTTTGGACCCTCCTGTCTGCATGAGTAGGCAGAGTCTTAGAGGAGCGAGCCTTTGTGCATGGAGGGCTTTGGTGACCAGCACTCTCTGCGTTTAACTGGGTAAGCCTAGTTAATTCTGGGGCCCAGTATCAGGAGGCCCATGTGTCCTGTTTGTCCTGCACCAGTAATAAAGATGTATTTTCATCTCTATTTGTTTGACTCTTACATGTATCTCTTGGTTGTTTCTGAACTCAGGTAGCAAAAGGGAGTATTAGCACCCCCTTAAATGCCATCAAACCCTAAGAGTAGGTCCACAATAAGTGTGTGTGGATGGAAAACATGAAAACATGTGTGATTTAATTAGAGAAGACTAGGGGGATGCAAGAAGTGTCAAAGTAGTCATCCTGACTTTGTCGTTCTGTCAAGGCCCAGCTGGAACTCTGGGTACCTGATAATGGACTCTTACCATGAGGTCATGTGGGGTCACCATTAATAGACCACTTTCTCTTTCCTGTTTTAGAATATTTGTTTATTTCCTTCTTTACTCCTCTTTTGCGAAATCTGTTTCTCAATTCCTGGAAATAGTCACATCAACTCTTACTCTTTGACTGTCATTACCTCCCTTTCCCCACCAACACCACCTCCTGCAGCTCCAGCCTCACTAATATCTGGTCTCCATTTCTGCAGCCAACAATTTTAATAATCCTCGAAACCAGCAATATAGGAGCTCTGATTGTTACAGCATCTCCATCTATACTAAGATACATCTTTTACTTAGAACACAATGGTTCCCGTATGAAGTAATGAGCCCTTGCATTCCTAGTTCTTTCATGTATAATTCAGATGTAATACAAAGTATTTTAAAGACAAAAATGTTTTCTTTTTTTTTAAAATTCAGGTTTGATTTGGATTTTGTTTCACTTTAGAATACACTAATCCTTCAAAAGGACATCACAGTTTTGTCAAGAACATGCCAAGTAAAACAAGAAATCCACCTGCAGATCAAAGCTTGTATTTTAATGTACAAATAGCTTCCTGAAATTGGATGGCCAGCTAGAGTTCAAAGTTTCTTTAAAAATGATGCCACTCTGAGATCACTAGGACTAAGCTAAGTTGCAGTTTAGGGATGTGACTGAGAAAGTGGATGAGATAAGAGCTCAGCTTCTACAGATCTCTGGACAGAAGTGTTTGAGTATCAGTGGGATAGAAAAAAGAGAGAGAGATGGGTAGAGCCACTGAAAAAGGAAAAACAATTAAAAATATATTGAAAGGAGAAAGAAAAAGAGAAATCATTCCTAATTAATTCTGGTGCCCTGCTCAACCCCAGCCTCTTTGTAATCCTACAGGGAACATCTTTATTGATCTGGGGGTCTTGCAGCAGGTTTCTGATGCTTATCTCAGCATAAAAAAGGCTCTTGTGATGAGCAGTGATTTAATTACATGACAATCACCATTAACAATGCATGGCAAATACCAAAAAAAATATGCAGAGCAAGACTGGCAGTGATAAATGTAGAGAGGTGGTGTTGACTTTGAGTAGTTTCTGGCTAAAATTCTACTGATACTTAGGAAAAAATAATATTCAGTGATTTGAAGTATTTAAGAACTGACTTCATTGCTTCATTTTTAGGTGACCATATGGATATTTAAACTTTAAAATATTAATTTTTATTATATTAGTAAATATTAGATTTCTAACCTGGAGAAATAGACCTATAATTAAGCTTTTCGACAGAAATTATGAGGTCTTCAGATGCAAAGAATTTCTCTTGTCTGAGATCTTCAAGCCTCACTTAGTAGACTTAAGGTTGAAGACCATAGCCATTACTCAAAAGGAACTTGTGGAAAGTGAATACATTCTCACAATAAGACCCTTTCAGAATAAAATTTCTCATGCCTTCAGATGCATTATTCTAGGTGTCTAGAATAATTCTAGATTCTATTGTAGGTGTCTAGATATGCCAAAGCACACATTTAAAGTTTAGGCATGTTGAAAACAGTAAAACACATTCCCATCTTTATCACTAGGTTAAGTTGTATTAATCAAAGCTAATTATCAGTTTAGAAAGGTTATGTCATAGTGTTAATTGACTCGGGCTGTTCTAAAATAGTCGAATAGGTAAATATGTAAATAAGGACCAAAAATTGGGTCTAACTTGGTTCCATAAAATCTGGTTAACTGAATGGCTCTCCTACCATGAGAAGCTAATAAAGTGAGAGCATGGTACAGAAGAGGATAAATCCACAAGAATTAAGAGAGTGGTAAGAGGAACATGGAAATGTCAGGGCGAGATGTAGGGCCAAAGAGGAGATGACAGCAGTGGGGTGGAGATGAGGTACTTTGTCCTTGGAAACCCTCAAAGAGCTCAGCTTGGAGACAGCAAGGTCTGAAGGTGGCATGAATAAGAAGAGGGTCAGGTTGAGGGACCCTCGTATATATATTATACAGGCACAGGAAGATTATATAGAGACAGGCACACAGCCAGTGTGGTCCCAGTGCATAAACCTGATGTTTTCTTCTTTTGAAAATACCAATGAACTTTCTGAAGAGAGTTGAGGCAGGATATGTAACAGTCTAAGGCAACAATGGACTGGGTTCAAAGTTCAGTTCTGTTTCTTCCTAGCTGGGTCACCTTTACCAAGGTCTTTAACCACTGAGCCTCAGTTTCCTCATCTTCAAAAGGGGGTAATAGTTGTACCTCACATGGTTGTTTTGAAGATTAAATCATTATGATGTTAAAAATACTTAGAACAGTGTCTATTAGGTGTGAGCTATTAGTAATATTAAGGCTTATTGTGTGGTGTCAGCCAGCCCAGAACAAGTCTGCCTGATTCTTGCATTTGGGAGGACTCACCACCTGGCATTGACTGTCAGCCTACTGGAACTAAAGTACTGCCTTGCCTGAGGCAGACTGCCGCCTGGCATGTTCAGTCTGAATTTATTGAGACTGAGTAAAATGGAACGTTAGGGGGAAAAGGATTTATATCAAGCTTTATTCACCCAGTGGCAGGTCAAGTGCTGAAATCATACCTGCCTCTGGGGCAGTTGCATTCAGCAAGCCTGTTACTATCTCTGCCTCCAGGCAGAGTACTGGGCAGGGCTCTTTATGGTGTAACACGGACAATAAGAGCTTATTGCCAACAGGTGTGTAAGCATTAGCCTAGCAGTAGGCCAATAACACATCAAGGATTTTAGGGTCAAGTGGGATCCTGGCCATAGGAACTTTCATTTTCCCTACACTCCACCCCTCAAGGATTCTCATCCCCCAGTCCATGTGCCCTCAATCTTCTGTAGTGGTCTGTCTCCCTGTATAGGAAAGCTGGAGCACTGTAACCAGATTCTACAACAGCAACAGAGAAAAAGAACAATATACACATAACAACAAAAATTAGGATACAGATAACTGCAAAAATTATAATAATCCTCAAGCCTGAGGAGATTGATTGCCACCAAGTGGTCGTTCCAGCTGTATTCAAACTAGTTCTACTCAGATGAGCTCATTACTTACACTTTCCACAGGGGAGATCAATCTTCAGCAATGGTCCCTGTGCAAGAAAGCTGGAACCATGTAACAATAAAAATTATAATAATAATACTCACCCTCAAGCCTGAGGAGATCAACTGCCATCAGTGGTCATTACAACTGTATTCAAACCAGTTCCAGTTCATGATTTGTACTTTCCATAGGAGGCCAGTAGCAGTACTAATAGGGAGCTCTGTGCCCACCCAGAGAGTAACAGGTTTTGGTCGAATGTGCACCCAATTCACAAGGACATTAGAGGAGATTAACCTTAAGAGCAATAAGACACATGCTTTAATGATACTAACATAGACAAGTTTTGCCCATCAGATAGGATGCATGCAAGAGTGTGGTCCTATGACAGGACAATGGCAGGAAGGGGCCCCATCTGATCTAGTATTCCATACCTTTACTGAGGGGTCTATGTATATAGTGCTACTAGAGATGCATGCACTGGCCATAATGATAAAACAAAACTCCCTGGCAAGATGCTCTTACCTTCTGGCTTTTTGAGTACACGACCATGATCTTTGGAGGCCACTGTGCCGTGCCATTACCCCAGGAATAGATAGGAGGCCAGCCTATATGCCATGCTCCCAAGGTGCCAGGGCCAGCTATTACTAGTCCATGTGCTGAAACATCCAAGGCCACGTCCACTGAATGGAGTCTCTGGGTCTTATTGCAGTTATTGCTGATAGCAAGATATTCTGGTGGCCAAACCCTGGCTTAAATGATCCCTCCTTGGTTTGTACTTGCAGCTGTACAGGGTGGCAGCACCGTGTATTACCATGTCTATGGGGTGCAGTGCCCCTTTCTGGGGCTTGTCATTCAAATGCCGCAGCACTGTCCGTAAGCGGACTGACATCCCCATACACTATAGATGTCTGACATTAGGCCAGATTTTAACAAACCGATGTGCCTCTCTATCATGCCTTCCCTGGTAGGATTATATGGTACATGAAACTTCCACTTTATCCCTAATTGTTACACCCATTCTTTTAGTGCATGTCTAGTAAAATAGGTGCCTTGATCACTCTTAATTACCTGAAGTTGACTATAGGCTGCAAAGAGATGCTCTAGGCCCCCTTGGTCATTTGTTGGTCTGCACAATGTGCAGGAAAAGTAACCAGAAGTCCAGCAGCTGTGTACACACCAGTCAGACATATTGATACCCCTCTGACACAGGCAGAGGCCTAATAGAGTCTATCTGCCACCTGACGAGGGATACTGGCCCCATAGCTATTGTCCCATGTTGCTGTGGGACTCAGCATAAGAAGTACCTTTTAGAGCATACAGTGCACTCCTGCTGGGCCCTCCTGACTTCTTCAAAGGTCAAAGGCAGATCCCACCAATGGGCTACAGCCTACATTGTCTTCTGCCCCACATGGAACAAGCATTAATATACCCATTGAGCCACGTCAGAGACAGGCTTCCCTTCTAGCCAATGTACTTGGGCCACTTCATCTGCTTCATCATTTTCTGGCTATGTCAGTGGAAAATGACCTGTCACATGATGTTCTGTAACTGTTTTAGTCTGACCAGAGGCCTGTAAGTCTTGCCACAACTTTTGTACTATGTCAGTAGCCACAGAGTCAAGCCTCAATAGATGGCCCAGCTGACAGTGCAAACAACTATTAGGGAGGGCTCCTGGGTGATCACAAGCCCACTGCTGCATCTCTGCCCATTGACTGCTTTTCCTCTCACCATCTTCCATCCATATCGTCTCAGTCTTAGAATGGAAAGCTATAGCCCTCCATTTTGGGGGCTGCCCACTGCAGCCATCTGTGTACCATGTATTTTCAGGTGCAGAGGCTCTTCCCTCCCAATAAGGGCTGTTTGATACTAATGGTTCTAAAGCAAATTCTTCCTGCCTGTCAGTAGTATATTTTACTGGTCCCAATAAGCATTTAAGTTCTTCACTCAAGGGGCTAGTAGAGAAGATGCTATACTGCTTTAGGTATGCAACCCACTTGGCCAGTGTAGGTATCTGTGCCATGCCACTCACCAGCTTTTGGGTCCAGTCTCGTACTAACCACGCAATGGGATAGGTGGTTATTACATTTATCGGGACTATTCTGGTGGGGCTCTGCAGCTAACAAGATGTCATACATGGCAACCAACTGTTTCTCTATTAAGGTGTACCACACATTTGTTCCTTTCCAGAGTTGCAAACACAATTCAATAGGTTAGCAAGTTCATTCAATCCATTTCCAGAGACTGCAGCTGTAATTGTCTTTGGTCACATGAACATCCAGCTCACAGAGCCTAGACGGGTCTATCACACTCAAGACCTGCACGGCCTTGACTCCCCATTTTTACAGCACTAAAAGCAGATGCACGTGTGTCATTCCAGTCCCACATGATGCCCTTACATACCAAAAGATATAAGGGCTTCACAATTTGTGCCAAGTGCAGGATAAACACTATCCAGTAGCCTAAAAGGCCCCAAAACTGTTGTAGTAATGCCACAGTTTTAGGGATAGGAAAGGCCTGGAATTCATCTGTGATTATTTCTGGTATAACTTTAGTCTTACCCAACCAGATGACCCTCAAGAATTTGACTGACAAACCTGGTCTCTGAACTTTGGTGCTGTACACAAGCCCTCCTTTCTCCTGTAGATGTCGCAGCAGTCTAGGTGCTGTACCTTCTAGGTTGGAAAGAGAATCAGACATGAGCATCATATCATCAGTATAATGGTACAGCTGCACCACTGGCAGTTTCTCCCATGCTTCCAAGTCCTGGGCTACAAGTTCATCACACATGGTGGGGCTGTGGAGGTACCACTGTGGAAAGACAGTGAAAGTCCATTGCCATCCTTCCCATGTGAAGGCAAACTGTTCCTGACTTTCCTGTTCTATGTCAATGGAAAAGAAGGCATTAGCAACCTCTACAACATAACGATATGTCCCTAGCTCATGACTGAGGGTGCCTGTAAGGCCTGAAATAAAGGGGACAGCAGCATGCAAAGGGGGTATGACTTTATTCAGTTCTCTGGAATCCATGGTCATATGCCTGGAGCCACCTAGCTTTTTTACTGGCCACACTGGGGAATTCTAAGGGCTATGGGCGGGCTTTATAATACCCACCTTCAGTTTCTGGAGGGTTTCTCCAATTTCTTTATACCTTCCGGGCAATTTATATTGCTTGGTATCAGTTATCCACTGAGGCACAGGCAAAGCTATGCATAGGTGCTTAATATGTCCTTTCAGAACTGCCTTTACAACACATGTCCTCAGTCTGAACTCACCTGAAGTGGTCTGTAACTACAGGCTCTACAGGATATCTATCCCCAAAATATATCTGGGGATAGGAGAGATATACACAGTACACTCTTTTTGGTGTGGACACCCTATTCCCAATGGGATTTGGACTTGTTTCATTCTGATAGCCTTACCCCCATATCCATCTATTGCAGCAGGGGTCCTGAGAAACTGCTCAGGTTGCCATATATCAGTGAGCACTCAGCTCCTGTATCTACCAGATCCAGGAGACATTGTACATTCACTGGGGACCAGTGAATTGATATTTCAGCATGTGGCCTCTGGTACCCACTCAGTATCCCAAGGCGGGTGCCGAAACCCTACCTTCAGTCAAACTGTATTGCCCAGTCTTCTTCCTATGCAGGTTCAAGTGAGGTCAGCTTACCTTCCAGCAGAAAGTCTTGCGGGCACACAGGCCAGGCTTGTGCTCTGTCTCCAGCCTCCGCTTCTTGGTCCTCCCTGGCCAAAACCATCGCCCAAGATTCAACTGTTGCCACAGCTCCAGTAATATTCTATTTGACTTCCCATCGAATTTTTCTCTGCTCCTGTCCCTATTAAATCAAGCCACATCTGGATCCTCATGACTCTTACAGGACCGTTTAAGCCCTTCCTTTCAGTAGGGGACCACACTCTTCCATGCCCACATTGCTTCAGCATCCTCCAAATCTGCCATAGTATGAGTAACAACACTTATGGGTTATCCTAAGTAAGGGGCAAGAATGGCAACTAAGGGCCCAAAGAAGGATGAGGGAGGGGTTTGCAGTACCATATCCTTCATCCCTGCCATAAATAGCTCCTCATCCAGGCCATAATTTACTAGGTTATAAATGGCATTTGTCATGCCTAACTCCTGTAACACCTGATGGAGCCGGGTATATGTTTACTGTCTGGCAGCGGAAGATGGTAAGTCACCCTGATTGGGCCATACAGTGTAAAGTGCATCCATTACTCACTTGAGAAGTAATGGTTCCCTGGGGTCTGGTATGCATTCTGTAGTCACTGCCATGAGGAAGGATGAGTTGTCAGGGAAGCCAGAGCTTTCCCATCTCTGATCCAGACAGAATGATCTCATCCACTCCTATGTCTCAAAGATACAGGAGACAGGCTGATACAGACTCCAACGATTTCTGCCAAAATCAGGATCCCTAATGCACAAGCTCCTCCTGGGTATAGGGGCAGAGTATAGGGTGCTCCAAGATTTGGGGAGGAGGCTGCACCTCTACAGGAGGAACCCGTGGCTGCTGCATCTTTATTTTCTTGCTATGACTGGGTGGGATTTCAATAGAAGGAGGAGTTGGTGCTTCTGGCACCACTTCTACCTCCTTGCTCTCCCTCGCTGCTGCACCATTTCCACGTCTGATGGCAGCTTTCTGGGTTCACAGAGCGCCTCCCCTGCTACAGCCTTTACACCTTCCACAGCGCATCACAGAGATATTATCTTTGTCTTCAACAGGTCTCTTGCCTTTTCCTCAATACATCACATCTGGCATTCTCATGCTGACCTTTTTGTGCTTCTTGCAGGAGCATGTCCTTCTCTTTTATGGCTTTTACCTCTTCCACAGCAACTTGGAGCAGCGCTGTCTCATTCTACAAAAAATCTTTTACCTCCTCCACAGTACTTTGCAGCTCACGTTCTCACACTGCCTCTTCTTGTGCTTTCTGTAGGTGTATGTCCTTCTCCTTCATGACCTTTACCTCCTCCGCAGTGCCTTGCAGCAATGCCATCTCATTCTTCAACAAATCTTTCACTTCCTCCACAGCATCCTGCAGCCTGCATTCTTGTGTTGTCTCTTCTTGTGTTATCATTACATCCTTTACCATCTCCATAGCACCTCACAGCAATGCTATCTCAATCATCAATGATTTTTTTTTTCTTCCATCATGAACCTTTATTTCTTCTTGTATGTCTCACGGGAGTGTTCTTCTCCTTTAAAACCCTTCTGAACACTGTGAAGAATAGTCAAACCATGGTTCCCACCACCCTGTGGGCACTCTGTTTCTTTAAGGAATTCCCTATTTTGTGGAGGGTCTCTTCTACTGTCCCAGGCATCACCTCCACCTCCCCCAAGTCCTGGGGAGGGGCCCAGTGCTAAAGAGGCAAGCGACCTCAGACTACATGCCCACTGGGGGATACCTGAGTGTCTCCCCATCCATAGGGGCAGCCTGCTGACGTACCCCTCCCGTAAGGACAGCTTATTCTGTTTTTGTTTTTTGGTCTGCAGCTAATCCTGCTGACTATGCCAATTGTCTTGCCTGAGGGGATTGCCCCTGAGCAGGTTCTCTCTGGGTTTAGTAAGACTGAATGACAATAATGGAACATTAGGGATAGAAGGGTTTATAGCAAGCTTTATTCTCACAGTGGCAGGTCAAGTGCTGGAATCACGTCTGCCTCTGGGGCAGTCTGCATGAAGCAAGTTTTTCTGCATCTCTGCCTCTGGGCAGAGTACTGGGTGGAGCCCTTTGTATAGTAACATCACCAATAATGGCTCACTGACAACAGGTGTGTAAGCATGAGCCTGGCAGTAAGCCAATAACATCATCAAGTGGTTTAGGTTCAGGGGAGGATCCTGGCCATAGGAACTTTCATTTTCCCTACAAACATATACGGCTGGTAGGCACACTCTTCCCAGATTGACAGGGACCTCTTCCCAAAGACAGGCTCATCAGGAAAGGGCCCAACTTATGAATTACTGGAAACTGACAGATCTTGAATAGAACAATCAGTTCACTTCTTCATTCCAAAATAAGCAGAGTCAATAGCAGATCCATGGCCCCATAAGGAAAACAAGCGACATGAAAGAAGAGCTGACATAGAAGAAACAGGTGATTAAGGAAGACAAAAATAAAAAAAGGAAAGAGAACACTCAATCATCAGATTTGAGAACATAGTAAACAAGACCAGACTGCTATGGGTAAAATAACTTAGAAGATAAAAACATGATTGGTTCAAATTAAATCGTTAGTTGAAAGGTTGAAAAAGAAAAGAAAAGCAGCTTCCCAGAGAGCAGAGCTAAAGAGAAAAAAATAAGAGAAAAGAAAACAAAAAAACAAAAGATTAAAGACATCTTACTTTTGTCTACAAATGTCTCAGGAAAGAAGGAAAAATGGAAGAAAGAAAACTACTACACAAATAATAGACAACAATTTTCTAGGCCTGAACTGAATAATAAGGTTTAGCTTGAAAGGATCCACATCAGCTTGAGTACCAACAGGAATGACTTGAAAAATGACATAGATCTAGATAAATCCTTGTGAAATTTCTAAGCAAAGATAAAGTGAAAAGTCTAAAAAGAAAAAATCTAATGAAAAAGGAAAAACCGTTGCTAGCAAAGCAGAATCACATTGGCAGCCAACTTCTTATCAGCTGCTAGATGTAACACATGACATCTTCAGGGTTTCAAGGGAAAATTATTGGGTAATCAGCACTGACCTCTAACCTTTGAACTACAGACAAATATGAGCACTAAACAAACACATTTTTCAGACAGTAAAAGGCTCAAACATTTCCCCTTCTATATATTCTTTTTAGGTGTTTCTACGTGTATTTCAGTATAAATAGATTGAAAATCAAGAAGGATGGAGACTTGTGGCTCAGAAACCTGTAGAGCAGACCCAAGAGAGTAAAGAAGGGGCCTCCCCAGTATGAGGGAGTGCCAGGTGGGAGGGGGTGAGGCGTGGTGGGGTCGGTGGGACAAGAAGTTAGAAGAAATGTAACCAAACAACAAATAAAGGCATGTGGCTTCAAAGGTCAAAGAAAATCAATATATAACCTGGATCACATCACAATATCGAAATCTATATATTACACAACATAGACTACCCTGAAATAGCACACAAATGTGCTGTTTCTGAAAACAATAAAAATAACTCAGACTTTTCCAAATTGCACAAACAGCTGGTCTCTCTCTATCTCATCTCTTCTCACATGCAATGTCTAGATTTTGTCTCCACACAAAAATCCCCATTTGACAAATCAGAAATCCAAGGTGCATTGAAATGAACTGATTTAGGTTTACACAGCTAGGAAGTTAATTTTTCTCTAGGTCTAGCACTAAAGAATTTTCTACAAAACTGAGCCCAGCTAAATTTATGTCCTGAAGAATAGTTGTTGGCAGGCATAGATGTCATAAGTAGAACTTTCATTCATCGGGTATTAAAATGAAAAACTGCTGTCCACTGCAGAGATACACCTTTGTGTGAAATGATGACTAATGTAGTCCTTCATGTCAATATGCCAAACCCATTAATGATGACTTCCTCAGGCTAACTCTTGTCTACTTGCTGAAATGCATATGTCCATTCCTCCCAAATGTGCACACCTTATAGTCTTTTGCAGACTGAGCTCTATGCAGGTCACTTGATATTCACAGAAAGATTCAGAGAGAAACGAAATGCTTCTAGTTGTTGTTGTTTACAGATTTGAGCAA